CACCAGAAAAAGTTTTAGATCAGATAATAAAACGGGTTCGTCCTGATGTGGAGCTTGTCTGGCTACCAGTAGCTCACTGCGAGCTCAATCCAATTGAGCTGATTTGGGCCTACGTGAAGGGGAAAGTAGCTAGGGTTAATATGGCTAACCAGGAAGAAAAGGGTAGATCGATGGAAGTAATGAACTTACTCTGCCAAGAAGCTCTGCGGTCGGTCACTCCAGAATTGTGGAAGAAATGCATCAGCCACTCACGAGTAATAGAAGACAATTATTGGGAAAGAGACAACATGATAGATATGCCTCCAGTTGAACCACTGAATATCAACTTGAATGTTAGCTCCACAGAATATTCAGATAGTGATTATTCCGATGAGTAATCTCATGTAAAAAAAAAACAAATGTAAAAAAATGTACAAATGTAAATAATATGTACATATAATTATTTTGGACTATACTTTTGTAAATAGATCTATGACAACGGCTATCTAGCCAGCAATCCATTTTTAAACCTGCCATTGGAGGTCCACAGCCCTCATGAGAAAAGGTGATGGGAAATGGTAATTTATGTAACACGATCCCAGATATGGTATAGGGGTAGGGTACGATTGTGGTGATGAGGTTCGTCGGTCTGGTCCGCGCCGCCGAAAACCGGTCCCGGGCAGGGAGAACTCCCTGCCTGCGAATCGATAGCGGTACAAATTTCACGCACTACTGCGTTTCAGATCTGCTTTGATTATACGTACGTTTTAATTATTCAATGCCAATTAGCGAATCTGTGACTTAACTTTTCATTTATATCTTTTTATGAGCTTTAATTCAAGCTTTAATCGTAGTTTCTTACTTGTTCCGTACCTGAAATAAAATGCCTTTACAAAAACCACAACAGAATTTTTTTTAATGGATGAAAAATTCTAAAACTTACAGATATCCATTATAAGTATATGTTCTAAAGGCTGTCAAAGTTTCATGACGATTAGATCAGTAGTTATTTTGTTATAAAATTTTAAAGTCGCCCGTTGATAGAAAAGTGCCGAAAAACGTGTACTGTACTTTTTTCATTCAACCCGCTGAAAGGATGAGTTGAAACTGCATTAAAAATTTTTAACCTACACACATAAACGTAGAAATAAATTTGTAAAATTATGATGTAACTTGTATTTTTCTAAGTCTACTGGTTACGTTGCAATAAAAGCTCAAACTCGAGTATCTATACTTTTTGACCCGACAGTAGGTATCGCCGTGACGTCACAGCGGCGGAGTGGTGGGGAGCCACCTGGCATCACTTTCTGAGCTCGCGTGGCCTAGCCCTTGTATATCTCTAGCCCTGACCTAAACCTACTTTTACTGTTATTAAATTATGATAGTTAAAAATTTTTATCCTATAAATGGCTTGGAAGGCTAGACAGACCTAAGGCAGAATGGCAGAATACTTAAGTAATTAAACTTTTCTGTGTTACCGCTTAGTTGGAAACAATAATATATTTGGATAAACCTACTAAAAAAATGAATCTCCTGTTTTTTGGTCTAACTTAATATAATTTTGAAAGATTTATATTGCTATAGATTTAAATAGTTTTGTATCACAAGTTTATGAAATTAATTTTTTTCATTTTGATACCATTGATACCAACAAAAGATCTGGAACAAAAATATTATGAAATCCTGCCATTATACAGATTGAATTTTAATTATTTTCAATATTTTCTTAAGTTGTTTACACGCCTAGGCCACTACTAGGTTAAATTTTCATGTATTTATAAATAATAATTATTACTTCGCAAATTATTTTTCTTAACTTTCAATAAAATAAATTCATCTATTTATCATAGAAATTAAACAATCATAAGTAGGCAGGACCAATGCAACCATGCGACCAGGGTATTTATGCCGATTATGCTTAATGCTCAGACCTGGGTATTTATGGCGATTGTACCCAGAAGTAAAATGCTAGTAGTGACCATATGAAATTTTGTTTAACACATTTTATCATCATTTTACTATCCTTACAGGGTGATAATTGAAAAAAAAATCTAAATCTTCTCTAACTTTAATAAAAATTATAAATACCCAGTTTTTGGGTATTTACCCGGGCCTGGGGTAAATTCCCGGGTAAATACCCAATTTATATTTACCTACCCACTGGGTATTTACACGGCCCACATCACTAATTACCCCCCAGTCCCCATGGGATGATCTCACCCTACTGTTCAGGTAAAGCACTGCCACTGAGCAGCTGCTAATAATAAATCAATGCTATCTGAACAGGGCTTTATGGTGTGGTTGACCTTTCACCAGATGTGGGTTAGCTTGACTCTATACAACTTGGATTATAGTCCTCGCCACCCTAACTTGAGGCAGCCCAAGGCCGCAAGCCCTATATCTAGTGCGGTCTTGGGTTGCCTCAAGTTAGGGTGGCAAGGACTATAGAGAGCTTGGTTTGCCATTACTGTACGTTCTCTTTTCCTCTTTTCTAAACCCTTGTCCCAAACAAAATTTATACGTTTTGTTCAATTCTGTAGAACCAATTAAGGCTATTGGCCCAGATATTTTTAATTGTATGTGTTGGATAACTGGTACCGAGTAGAAACTGTGCCCCTTTTGTTCCAACACAGGGTCGTATTTAGAATCTATAATGCCCCGGGCGACTAACACCAGAGAGACCCCTCTATTCTGATCCTCTTCTCAAATAATTGGGTATAGAAATAGATAAAGTATTGCTTCAACTTGAAGGACTAAACCCTTTTTTCTACAATACGATCCTATTTTTATCATTTTTTAAATATTTTTTTTTAATTAGGGTCAGGTTAAAAAATTTTGACCTTAAAGCCTCAGGCCAACATCGGGGCGGGTCAAAATCTGGCTGCTTTGGAAATATAGTAACTGATTTTTAACAATATTACAATCGGTTTAAACGGCTTCTGCAATCACATTGTCCTTGGTACAATGGTACAGTGAAATTGTGTGCGTTCCCTGCGTTTACGGTGAAATGTGAACATCTCCTGTGGATGATGAGGAATTATGAACAAACTCAAGCACCCTAACAAACTATCAGTGAAATTCATGTTTCAAGCAAACAAATTTGAAACCGAAGACTCTGGCGGCTTCTTTAGGTAAATAAGACCCTGCTCCAATATTTGCAGAGGATTTAATAGAAAAATATGTAGAATAGGTTCTTACAAGTAAATATTTTAGGCCAAACCAAATTGATTGATTTGAGTACTACGGCTTATGTTTGGCAATAGTTTCTCAATACACATTCAAAGCAACACAGAGAAGTAAGGTACCAAGGAAACACACTTGTGGGACTACAGTGTGCTTCAACTCTAGTATATAGTGTCTGAAATTGGGGGTGAGCTTTCCCAATAAGCATCTATTTTCACAGTTAGTACACTTGAGTGAAGTAGGTGTACTCGCAGTATCGCGGACATCATTCCATTTATTTATTTATTTATTAAAAATCATAACAAGGTTTATTTATCTTTTCATTTCTCCTCTACTCATTGTCATGATCAATTTTAATTTAGGATTAAATACAGATGATTTATTTTTTCTTATAAATAAAAAATGTCATTAAAATACGGTAATAATCAAAACCATAAATCATAGTACTGTATTTGATACACATATTATAGTTTTTCAGGTAGTACATTTAAGGTTTATTTTTGGTTTTTTTTTTTTTGTTTTTTTTTGCAAACTAAACAAAACAATTTAAATACTGTAATGTACCGGTAATTTATTTCATAGAAAATATAACAAAATCTAAATACACATCTAACTTTGTGGACTCCTCTTCGATTATGCAAATGGACACGTCAATCTTTCTTGTCAAAGTCCGCGTGAGCTAAACGCTTGCTTACTACAAGTCTGAAGTCAGATATTTTAATAGTTTAATTGTCCTCTGGCGGATGATAGCTTCATTTTAAATGATAAGGATTGTATAAAATATAAACTTAAATCTGCCCATTTGAGTTTATGTACGCAAAACTAATGCGCAAAATTTATTTTGTCGTAATTTTAAAAAATTGTGATTTTTTTTTAGCTAGTTTTATTTAACATGATCTAGTGTAAGCCTGAGGCTCTTTTTAGTACTGTAAGTTTATAAGTCCAAGGGAGGGGGCTTAAGCCCGACATCCGCCACTGGAGGGCTATTTTAAGTCAAACTCTTAGCTTTATTACGTTTAACTAACCTCTTCCTCAATCTTACGTCTTGATTTTATACAATTGCCTTGAACTAATTCACTAGCCCAAATCCAGAAATTTAACCTAAACAGACCACAAACTAAGGTAAAACAATTTATTGTTTAATAGTTTAGATTACTTAAAATGATGCCATTCAATGTGTACTTATTTATATCATAAAAATAGATTTTCAATTCATTAACTCGTAATAATTAATTGTCATTGCATGCTACTGGCATATCCAGGGAGGGTTTGGGGTTTTTAAACTCCCCCCTTGACATTAAATGTGTGTTTTTTTTTTTCATTCAAACAATTTTTTCTACAATTAAAAATTCTCTTTTATATGTCTCTAAATGGCCTAAAAACGCGAGTTTACAGGTCTAATTTTCAAAGAATTTCCGGACCCCTCCTTTTTCCCTAGGGTCATCCTAGTTACGCCCATGGGAACAAAGACATTGAATCTCTTTTTCAAGCTGTTAAATAAAACAATTGAAAAACTCACGTTTTAAGCCTTGTATAAATTAGATACTCTTTGCCCCAATATCCAACAAATAAATATCCAAAAAAGTAATAGGCCTACTAACTTTAGTTGGGCAGTAATTAAGCTTCTCAAATCGCCATCAATCCCATTCTGCCTTAAAAGGGATGTTGCGATATTACTGATGATTCACAAACTAGAACCGTTTCAAATACTGCAAAATCACTGCAAGTAGTTACTAGCAGTAATGTTTGGTTTAAACTGTGCTATTTATACTCGCTGGATGGTAATTTAGCACTACCTGACCAAGGTTTACCAGCCTAACCTCAATGACATGTTTCAGGACGAGAGCGGAGGTTTACCAGCTGGGTCATCTTCTCACCAAATGGGCGTCCGAGGAAGTAATGTTCTCAACAGAGTCGGACATCAACAAGACAAGTGGAAGAAGCAGGTCCGAGAACAACGCAAGAACATCTACGATCGACACACCATGCTCAACTAGACCAAGTTGAAAGCATGTTTTTTATGTATAACTCATAGAAATTCCTTTACCTTGCTAAAATATTCGGCGATCAAGGTATAACTGATGCCTGGAAAATGAATTTAGGCTGATGGATAGAAAAAGTTATTGAATCTATTTCGAATTTAGAAAAGGTAGACATTATTCCAACAAAACAGTACCTAAGTTACTAATAGTTAGGATATAAAAAAAAAGTCCCTTTGTATTTATTTTTAAGGTTTTAGTTTTTCTTTGAATATTTGTAAAATATATGTTTACTAGGCTATTAAAATACTTAAAGTATGTATGTTTTTTGATTTTCCTCGAGTTGTGCAAAATTATTTAAAGGAGAGGCATTTGGCTAGTTTTTTTTTTTTAAGGAATAGCCTTTAGTTCAGCTAGATTACCTGAGAACATTAGGAGTCCTTGGTCTAATAGTCTTAGTAGTATCACAATAAAAGAACACAAAACATTACTGGTATTTTGTCCTGATATAGGACACTCTCAGAGAGAAGGGTAATTAATGTACAGTAATTGGGTATCTGTTACATCTATTACAACCATTGTGCTTTAATTTTCTGAGGTAAACGAGCTGAACTCTATTCCTTTAAAAAATCCTGTTCTTGATTTGAAAAAATCTTAAGATTGAGAAGCAATTTTGATAAAGGCCTATTCAACAAACTTGCAAGTATTCAGGAGTAAGAAACACTGTTTAAATGGCTAATCTATAAATGATAACCTTTCTACTTATTTGTACTAGGAGTACGCTCCGAAGTCACGTATGAGAATGAACGAAGACCATATCATACATACAAACAATTTGCCAACAATAACCATATTCATATTAGCTGATTAAGCAGGATGGTTTATGGCAAAGCCAACCTTGGTCCAAGGTCATAAGGCAGGTTTGATCAAATCCACAAAGGGAACAGGTAAGTATTCCCAGTTTCTGCAATGTATAATCAAAGAATATTTCAATGTGTTACAAAACAGCAATTGTTCTAATATGCTGAGTAATAGTAATATAGGTTTCACAATCTATCACCAGGAGCTGTACCATTTTCAAACCTGCTGGAGCTGTAGCAAACCTGCAAACTAAGCGAATTTCCATTTACCTAGCTGGATTTTTACTAAAATATTCCCTTATAATTGTAAGATTTATTTCATAGTACCTGGGGACCGAGCTTTGCTTGGGGAAAATCATTAGTTTACTCTGAAAGCAGTCTTAGTATTGCAGATACATTAATCCATCTCAAACTCCACAATGCTCGCTCTTACTACTTCTTTCCCATAGCATTTTAGGATTTCAGATACATTATTGGAAATGCCACATAGTTCCCACACTCTGCACTGCTAGCCTTACTACTTCCTTTACCATTTCCTACGTCATGGGCCTGTTTCCTTCCCTTCTCATAGCATTTATGTATTACAGAATGATACATTAATCTAACTAATAACACAATGGTTCCCACACTCAGCGATGCTAAACTTTACTACTTTCTACACCACTTCCTACTACGTGGACCTGTTTTCATATTATTCCATAGCATTTTAGTATTTTAAAAACATTAATCTAATTGCCACAAACATTTCCCACATTCCGCACTGCTAGTATTTACTACTTCTTTCACCATTTCGTATGTCATGGACATGTTTCCATCCATTCTCATAGCCGATGGATATGAGTACCATTCTCATAGTGGATTTATGTATTGCAGATACATAAATCTAACTGTTACAGACGGTTTCCAGTTCCCACACTGCTCGCCATTACTACTTCCTTCAGCACTTAATACGTCGCGGACCTTTTTTCCTCCCATCCCATAGCATTTTAAGATTGCAGATACTTATTCTAATCGTCATAAATAGTTCCCACACTCCGGACTGCTCACCTTTACTACTTCCTATGTAGCGGACCTGTTTTACTCCCTTACCATAGTATTTTAGATTTGCAGATACCTTAATCTAATGGTCATAAACAGTCCCACACTCCGGACTACTCACCTTTACTACTTCCTTCACCACTTCCTACGTCACGGACCTTTTTTCCTTCCTTCTCATAGCATTTTTAGATTGCAGATACCTTATTCTAACCGTCATAAATAGTTCCCTCACTCCGGACTGCTCGCCTTTACTACTTCTTTCACCACTTCCTACGTCACAGAACTGTTCCCCTCCCTTCCCATGGCATTTTAGGATTGCAAATACCTTAATCTAAGGGGCATAAACAGATCCAAAACTCCAGACAGCTCGCCTTTTCTACTTCCTTCACCACTTCCTACGTCGCGGACCTGTTTCCTTCCCTTTCTATAGCATTTTGAGACTGCAGATAATTTAATCTAATCGTTATAATCAGTTCCCACACTCCGGATAGATTGCCTTGACTACTTCCTTCACCACTTCCTACGTCGCGGACCTGTTTTTCTCCCTTCCCATAGCATTTTAGGATTGCAGATACCTTAATCTAATCGTCATAAACATTTCCCACACTCCGGACTGATCACCCTTACTACTTCCTTCACCACTTCCTACCTCACAGACCTGTTCCCCTCCCTTCCCATAGCATTTTAGGATTGCAAATACCTTAATCTAATGGGCATAAACAGTACTAAATTTCCCATCAGGCCCACTAGGCCCAGGCCTAGGGCGCCAAATTTCAGGGGGCGCAAGACTTTAACCTCTTGAATGAATTCCACGTATGCCCCCGCGCGTCAGACCAGTAGTCCTGCTTCCAGCCCACTGACGCACGGCGTGTCCGAGTGTAGTTTGAATTTGCCGCGCTTAGTAAGCAAATCGTAGAAGAAGAAAAATTGCATTGTTTGGTACTGCCGCCGCGGACCGCTTTACTTCCCATTTTATAGCATTTTAAGACTGCAGATACTTTAATCTAATCGTCATAAACATTTCCCAAACTCCGGATAGCTCCCCTTGACTACTTCCCTCACCACTTCCTATGTCGCGGACCCTTTTTTCTCCCTTACCATATCATTTTAGGATTGCAGATAACTTAATCTAATCGTCATAAACAGATCCCACACTCCGGACAGCTCGCCTTTACTACTACCTTCACCAATTCCTACGTCGCGGACCTGTTTCCTTACCTTCCCATAGCATTTTAGGATTGCAGATACCTTAATCTAATTGTAATAACAGATCCCACACTCCGCACTGCTAGCCTTTACTACAATGTATCGATTAATCTTCAGTATAATCTTTGCTCAATAGTAACAAGTGATGTTTTTCCTTTTGTACTGTATTTGTAATTTGCTAGTATACTGTAGGTATATGCCTTTATGAACACATGCTACAACTTACAAGTCTTTCGTTTACTTTTTTCTTGTTATTTAATTCAACTAACATGGTTACTTAACAACCCATAAGACTATTGTTAAAAAAATTTGACTTACAGTTTCATTTTTCTACGTAATTAGATTTTTGTTGGCAGTTCTAACTGCAGTAAACTCATTTTAGGTCAGAAATAAATTATTTACAACATTTCAAGAAAATCGTCAAAGCAATTTTTGAGATCTATCTGCAAGCAAGCAAGCATACATACATACACACAAGCAAACATTGCTCATATTAGAGTATAGGATTTAAATCACTTTATTATAATGAGTAATTAGCTTTGCTGATACAGAACATGAATCCAGATGTGTTTTTGTATTGAAATGTTCATAGCTTAGTATGAAATAAACAAAATTGCTAAATTTGATTCAAATACATCAATAAACAAGTAAACAACACTTTATTTATTCTTTGTAAGAATGAAATGGAAATTTTAATTTTTTTTTTTTATCTCCGTAACACAAAACCAATATCTCTGTAAACCTTTGAACAACATTTCTGTAAGTTAAACCGTTAGGCATAAAATAACGCTTCAATTTATTTTCTCTTGTAAGCTGTACAAAATGATCTGGTAAGAAATTGTGAAATTTTGTGTTTCAGGGTCAAAAATGGGAAAACCCAACTTTTACCCCATAAAACACGTTACCGTATAAACCCCCATTCCCATAGTCTGATCATGCTAGGTCACAAACTCGTTCAAATAAACATAGGTTTAGAGTTTGTACAAAATTTTCTTAAAATTGGATCATTTTTGCTTGAGTTATTGCACTAAGTGACATATATATATATATATATATATATATATATATATATATGCATTTGAACGGGTGTTGTTAGCCTCTGGGGACCTCAGAACGAAAAAGTAAATCGGTCCCAGGTCTAGGTCTTACCATGAGGCATACGGTAGTAGTTTATTCCCTATAGGGGAAATTCGCTAAAATTATAAATAATTATCATACTGCAACCCACTGGTAATTTTGTTATGTGAATGACTAAACAAAATGTTTAACAGGAGAGGGATACTTTTTAACTTAAATATTTTGGATTAATATTCTACATTATCATTAGATGACAATGCATGAATATGTAGGTTCTAAATATCAAGTATATTTTTTTACACTGCAACCTCACAACCAACCAGCCCATTGCAGAGTACTGCCAGATGGTTGACACTCTGGAGGATGAGATACTGAACATCGATGGTGGCGTCACTGTTTGCGAGAATTTCATTGCAAGGTGGAATGGGAACACGGGTGATGTTTTCACCGTTTGTTGCCCCCTGGGAATGGAGAGGCAGTTCCTGGCATCTCTCTGGCATTGAAAGCCTTAGCCTACCGTATGGGGGACTGGCGAGTCTCTGAAGACTACTCTGCAAGCAACCATCAGTCTATCGTCTTCCAGAAACACACTGAGCCACCTCAGTGCACCTGTCCTGAATTTGTCCGGCCACTTTTCAGGGTTACATAACAAATTAAACTGTTGGGGACATTGGAATTTCCTAATTTTGTGCCACTTGGACAATGCGTCCCCCTTTCTTCAACATTTGACCACTCGATGCTAATGATTTCCACCCATGCTGCCAGCCGAACCCAGTTTACTGCTGGACAACTAAGATTACGTAACTCAGGAGAATATGGATTTGACTCCAACGAGCAGCGCAGCATTCCAGAAACTGGCCTGAAGCTAATGCTAGATTGGCAGAGCACCAGGCCACGCTCCATCACAACCTACGGCAATGGAACGCCACCTCAATTGCCGTAACTGCTGTCATCGACATGTTGTTCTAAAGTACCCAGCGTGACCAGCATTGGAATTCCCTATATAGCCTATGGGAAATTCACTAATGCCACACCTATCAAATAGCATAGGAACCAAACAAAAAAATCATAACTTCTTGATCAGCATTGTACGTGTTATTAAATTTACGGAAAGTAAATAAAAGAAACTTCTTATAA